AGTGGAGTGGTTGCTCAAGAGTTGGCGTTGCGTACACGCGCGCGTGCGTGGGTGTGTGTGTGTGTGTGCGCGCGCGTGTGTTTGTGTGTTTGTGTGTTTGTGTGTGTGTGTGTGTGCGTTTGTGTGTGCCTTTAGCATGCAACACCCAGCTGCCGCATGTCTCAACTCTTGCCACGGCAAGTCAAAGCAGATAAAGCCGAGATGTGTGTGTGTGTGTCACACTTGCGCACGTGCGTGCGTGCGTGCTACCGCGGATATCTGCAAATTTTGCCCTTCTGTGGCTGAAAAGCTTCGGTGCTGCGAGCTCTGCGCACTTGCGCGTGCGTGTGTGTGCGCTAGCGCAACTTGCGCGCGTGCATGTGTGTGTGCGCTAGCGCGGGTATCTGAAAAGTTTGCCCTCTGTGACTGATAAGCTTCGGTGTTGCGAGCTCTGTGCAAGCGTCGCTCTGCGCAAGTGCTCGGCCCAAGTGTTCAGTGCAAGTCGCTCTGCGGGCGCAAGTGCTCTAAGCAAGTTGCGATGCGCAAGCGCCACGCAAAAGTATGCTGCGCAAGCTCGGGGCAATTTCCTATGAGCAAGTTCTCTGCGTACAGCGCTGACCGCAACATCGCAACCTTTCGATTTGAGCCGGAGCTACGAATGCACCCTTTGTGAGCCACTTTCGCGCTGCTGACTTTCTAACTTAAAGGCCGCGGAGACCACGCGTAACCACCAGACAAGCTCTCAAGCCCGCGTTCCAACTTGAAAAAAAATAGCATTTACTAGCATTTCGTGCGATCCACCACGCAAATCCTCGCATGGGTTGCGCGGGCACCTCAGAAATCGTAAAAAGACCTCAGATTGCACATCGACCACTCCAATCCTTGCAGAGAGCCGCGCGCGAACCTCAGAAATCGTAAAAATCCTCCGCTTTTGCACATCGACCACGCCAATCCCCGCAGAGGGTCGCGCGCGCACCTCAGAAATCGTAAAAACCTGGAGGACCACATGTACCTTAAAAAAACCCCTAGATGGTCGTTTCAAATGACCTTTATTTTAAAGGTCGTTTCAAATGACCATTAAAAAACGTCTTTCCCGATGTTTCCCGCATATTTTGTTTCGATTAACAAAACGCGCCACAAGAACACACATCTCCTGTAACTTTGGGGCGCAGTGACCGTTCAAGCGCGCCAGAATGGCGCTAGCTCCCCTCCCAAAAGCACAGTGACATATTTGAATTTTTCCAATTGGGAGAAAGGGGCACATAGCCATACATGTTGGTCTGAAAGCGCAAAGCCGCATGGATTTTGAAGGCTGCAAGCTTGCAGCTGGCCCGCAAAGCTGCACATGGCCTGCTCCAGTTGGCGCTAAAAACTGCAAAGTTGTCTGGGCGAAGGGCTTAGTTGACACGAGGCTCCGGCGGCGGGAACGTTGCAATTCGACACCTGAGTTTGAAGGCCACCAGGCACCAAAAGTTGCCCGGCCTGCAACTTGAATGGTCTCACGAAAGCCGTCCCTTTTTTGAACCCAAGGCCTGCCCCACGTGGACTTCCAAGACTTGCCCCAACAACCCCGCTTCCCGGTGCCGTGAGCCTGATTGGCCCCGACAGGCACTCCAATTTGCAAATCTGCGCGGGCTGCGCGTGATTGAAGGTTGCAGGCTTTAGTAATTGCAAAGCGGCCCGAAAGTCTAGCGCTCGCGAAACAAACTGCATGGACGCGTTTCGAAGGCTGCAGGCTCCATGCAGCGTTAGATACGGAAGGCGCCTGGCTTCGATACGGAAGGCGCCTGGCTTCGAGGTGTTGAGACCTGAAGGCTCTCAGCACTGTTTGAATTTGGGCGCCTCGAGGCACCGAACCTAGTAGTTGCAGGAAAAATGCATTGTTTTTTACGGATGCACAAAACAACCCATCAACTCCCCCACGCCCCCCCCCCCCCGTGCCAGAAATCACCGTGACTGCTAAAGTAGAAGAATGCAAATCATTTCCCCACCCACCGCAAATAGTCAAAAAACACGTTTGTCACTTTGCGAACATTTTGCGAGGCTCCGTTGGCAGCCAAAGCTGCAAAGCTGGAACGGTTGCCCTCGTTTTGCCTTTGGCACGCAATTTTGGGCACAGCTTTACAGTTGTGCGTGCAAAATTGGAGCCAGGCTTCAAAACGATTGCGGCCCAGGCAGTTTGGCCGCTTTAGTGCCACACGGAACCTGCAGCCTTCAAAACACATAGCTCTCACTGCAGTCAGCTTGAATTGTTGAACGTAAACGCAAGCAATTGGAAAGCCAAATTTAATATTAGGCTCAATCGCATATCGAAAAGGCGATTGCAGCCGTTGAAAGCGCAAAGTAAAAGGGGCCGAAGCCAAGCCCCAAACAATGAGGGCGGACTATGGAACAGCCAGCTGTTTGGGGGGGGAGGGGGGCTTTCTGCCCACAAACCAAAATGAACTATGAGTGGCTGAGCGTGGAACGGATGCTGATGCTGAAAGTCGCTTGCTTGTTTTTGCAAATTGTTCGGGGGGTCTTGGGCAAGGCCAGCCTGAAGTGGCGCAAAAAAACAGTGGAGCCGCGCTGCTTTATCCGCTTGCAGCCCTTTTGGCGGTCACGTTAGCAAACTCTTGCTGCAAACCGGAATGCCTTCACTTTGCGGCAGGGTCGGCCAGCAAACTTTCATCGCCAGAGCGTTGCGCAAAAGCGGCGCTGCGTTGCGGAGGCGGCTTGACGCATTCAATGAAACTGACCGACTTGACAAAAGACACGAAGCGAGGGCATTGTGGCTTCCCAAGGTCGGGTTGTCTGGAAAAAATTGGAGCGTAGAAATCCGTGAAAAAGTGTGCAAACGGGCCTTAAAAGTGTGCCAATGACCCTTACAAAACGTGAAAATTGGGTTTGTATTTTTTTACGGTGGCCGGGCAGGAAGGTTTGAGTACGGGGTATGATTCGCAGGTATGATTCGCGGGTATGATTCGGGGGTATGATTCGCGGAAGCAGTAGCAGCAGCAGTAGTAGTAGTAGTATAGTGGTAACAATAGTAGTAGTAGTCGTAGTAGTAATAATAGTAGTACTAGTAGCAGCAGTAGTAGTAGTAGTAGTAGTAGTTGTTGTTGTTGTTGTAGTAGTAAGCAGTAGTAGCAGTAGTCGTAGAAGTAGTAGTAGTACTAGAAGTAGTAGTAGTAGTAGTAGTAGTAGTAGTAGTAGTAGTAGTACTAGAAGTAGTAGTAGTAGTAGTAGTAGTAGTCGTAGTCGTAGTAGTGGTAGTAGTACTAGAAGTAGTAGTAGCAGTAGTAGTAGTAGTAGTAGTAGTAGTAGTAGTAGTAGTAGTAGTAACAGTAGAAGCAGCGACTGTAGTGGCGCGGAAGCTTTGAAAAGACTTGGCTCCGGCCTTGGCAAGGCAAGTTCATTGCGTGGGTATGATTCGGGTATGATTCGCGGGTATGATTCGGCTAGGTGCAAAACGGCACTGATT